ACTCTGGACCTTAAACCCTAAGCCCTACACCCCAAACCGCTTGAGGAGCCTCCAGGCCTGCTAGTGGAGCGATCTTTCAAGGATTGCCTGATCGGAGCCTCGTAGCCCCTCCAGTCGGATGCCTAAGCACCGCGTCTACAAAGTTTAGGGTTAAGGTTTTTGCATGGGTTTGGGGTTTGGGCTGGGTTTGGGGTTAGGGGTTTAGGGGTTTAGGGCTTAGGGTTTGGATGCGTTTGGGGTCTGGGCCGGGTTTGGGTTTAGGGTTTGGAGGGGTTTGGGGTTTACGGCTGTAGTTTAGTTTAGGGTTTAGCGGTTTAGGGTTCAGGGTCTGGGGTAGTCTCTTTTTCTTGTAACAAACCCCTCAACTCCCTCCTGTTCCCCCCTTCAAAACAGATGCGCGTACCATGCTGGGGAGCAGTTACTATTAGGGGGCGGGGGGTTTACCATGTGCCATGGGACCACTGTGTAATGAGTATAGGAATTTCATGTTTCGCCTTCATTACCGTATGTACCCGTACATGTTGGGTACTACCCCCACTCGGCAACAGTTGGATAAGAATTGCAATATGAATATATAGAGCCCTTTGTATGACCCCCAAGATAGGCTGTTATTGGGTGGGGGGCAGTAGCTTACCTGCAACATGATTTATCTTGGGCTTCGGGGTCAAGGGGGAGCGCATTACACCCTAAACCCCAAACCGCTGTCTCAGCCCCGGTCAGGGCTGCTCAGACAGCCTCACCCGACAGAGGGGGCAGCACAGCTCCAGCGTGGCATCCTTCCCATGGCTTAGAGTTTAGGGTTTAGAGGTTCCAAAGCTTGCAGAAGCTCCGGTTGCAAGCCTAAACCCTAAACCCTAAACCCCAAACCCCAAAAAGCATGTCCTGAAGAAACCAGTTAGCCAGGCATTGAAGGTGGAACCTGCCAATGGCTCCCAAGCTGGTCCTAACCACCTGGTCCTAATCTTATGGGTTTAGGGTTTAGGGGTTGAGGTCTTAATCTTATAACTTATAGCCCCACCCCCCTAAGATTAACAGTTTCCCATATGGAGGTTTCCCAAAATTAGGGGTACCCTTTTGGAGGGTCCCTCTAATAAGGACTATAGTATGTGGGGTCTATATTGGGGTACCCCTATTTAGGGAAACTACCATATACCGTAGGATACCACAATCGAAACAAGTCATATCAGGAGGTTGGGGGGTTCTAAGATTAGGGGTAAGTTGAGTCTGCCATCACACCTCCGAGGCCTGGGCATGTGTCCACAACCAAGCCCCCGTATCCGGGCATTCTGAGCTATCTCACTGAGACCTCACACATAGACAGTCCCGGAAGCCCAAGGAATGCACATCAAAACAGGCTCCGGACATATACTGCACTCGGCAGTCATGCGACTTTCCCAATTTGCTCCAAGGACGTCCTTATGAGCTTATGAGGAAGGCGCTTGAAATGACCCATGCTTTCAGACCATGGTTTGATTAGGCTGTAAGCTCTCAACATGGAAAGACAGCCTGATTGCATCGGAAGCTCGGGCAGATAGGCCTGCTCTGCACAATGCAAGAACGCTTGCAGCTGTCTGCAAAGAGATCTGGGGGTCTCCCAAAACTGGGGGGGTGTATCTTCTTTTGGGCGTCCCATGAAAAATCAAAATATCCTACAATAAGGATTAAAGTGCTTTTGTGTCTGTATGGAAGTCCCCCTACTTGGGGAATCTACCACGACTTCTTCGGGGGCCTCTTCCCACTCCTCTCTGGTGCAGATGCGCGTCCTCGAGAGTGCGCGTGACCAAACAGCAGCTGCAAAACCCTGAACTGGCCTTTGGCTAGCTGGGAACAGAGGAATGGAAACGAAAAAATTGAAACTACTAGAATGGGTTATAGGGACTACTATAAGGATCCATTCCATCATTCCTAGCTAACCAAGGGCCTGTAAACGCGAAACCCTTGCCAAGTCCTACTGTTGAGCTGCTGAATCCGGTCCTTGGCTCCAGACATGAAACGTCAGAAGTAGCCTGGGGGAAGCTCACTGGTGTGGCAATGCTAGGAAGAATAATAATCGTAAACATACTAATAATAGCCGTAGTAATACATCCACCCTATTCTGAAAACATGCGCTGCCATGCTCCAGATCTCAAGATGGCGTCATGAGAGCTAATCTGGCCCAGTGTCAGCCAGCACCCCTCCCCGCCGTGGGCTGGCATCCATCTCACAGGACGAAGTCTGAACATGGTAATCTAAAAGAATCTACATCTTGCCTCCAATTCGGGGGCCTGAATCAGCATTTCCTCCGGTGGCACATTCCTGGCGCTCGGCTGGCATTGGCTGGCATGCTGCAATGGTTGCAGAATGTTGCGGGGAAGCGCCTGCTGGAAGGCCATGGCCTGCATTTGAGCACCGTGACAGCAAGTAGGAATCCTGACAGATTGTGGGGTTTAGGGTTTAGGGATTTAGGGTTTTAGGCTTTTTAGGGTTTAGGGTCTAGGGTTTAGGGATTGCCCTGCGGCTGTGCGATCAGCCCTCGTGCCAGAGGTCCTCCAACTGAGGAGCTGACAGCCATGACCACCTTGACACCGCAGCCCCCAACATGGTTTAGGGTTTAGGGTTAAGGGATAGCAAAAATCGTTATACTGTTGATACTAAAAATCCTGCATGACCTTTATATACCATAGTCCCATTATTCCCAAGGTATAAGGTACTTGGGGTCATGCAGGATTTCTAGTATCCACCGTAGTAATACGAATACTAGTAATAAGGGTAATCATCCTACTGACAATAAGAAGAATACTGTAATACTAAAAGTAATTGTAGCACTTGTCATAATACTTCTAATATACTAAACACTAAAGATACGAAGCATACGAAAAGTACGAAGAACACAAGTAATACCCGCCCATAAGTAGATAGAATATGGAGTATCATACACTCAAAGCCATACCCCACCCACCCAAGGGGGACTATATCCTACACCCTAAACCCTAAACCCTATATACTCCATATTCTATCTACTTAAGGGGGACTATAATACTACTATCAAACCCTAAGCCCTAAACCCTAAACCCTAAAAATGGCTCTTCACCGCGTCTGGGTTTCGGGCTCTCCGGGTTGCCGAGCCCGTTACGCAGGCCGCAGCAAATACCTCAAGGCCCAGCGAAGGTTCAGGGCTCAGGGTTTAGGGTTTGGGATTTAGGGTTTAGGGTTTAGGGTTTGGGATTTAGGGTTTAGGGTTTAGGGTTTGGGTTCAAGGCTTAGGGTTTGGGTTTTGGGGTTCGGTTAAGGGTTTAGCCGCAACGGCAACAACTGCAAACCTCGTCGAACCTTCCCGGCAACCCTAAACCCAAAACCCTAAATCCTATAGTCCCCCTTAAGTAGATAGAATCTGGGGTATGATTCTGGGGTCTTATTATTTTAGTATGCCCCAAGCCATATTCTGTCTACTTAAGGGGACTACACTCCCAAAACCACGCCAGGACACCAGCAACAGGAGCACCAGGATGAGGGACCCGCACACCCGCAGCGCGGGCTGCGAGTGTAGCGAACACAGTGAGAAGCACCCGCCCAGGCCTTGGCAGAGAACTCCAAGTAGCAGCCACATTAACAACTATGTTAATGACATTAAGAAATCATAACAGCAATAGTAGTGATAAAGATGATTCTAAGAATAGTAACATAAGTAGCAATCATTTCAACAATGATTACAATAGTAACGACGATAATGATAGTAGTAAAAATGCAAGAAATCGGGCTCAGACTCTCGCATCTCTCACTGATCCGCACCCAGCTTCCATTTGCTTGGCTTTCGGACTCAGACCTCACACGCGCGGTGAAAGTTGCTGACACATTTTTCACAACTGCCACACTAATGCAAAAGCAAGCAAAGCTGCCACCCCTCGACCCTTTTCTCAACCCAGACTCTGCTCCGGACCAGCTAAACCCTAGTCCCTAAACCCTAACCCATAATCCCTAACCCATAATCCCTAATCCCTAAACCCTTATCCCTAAACCCTATTCCCTATCTTCTACTCCCTAAACCCTACCTCCCCCCAACTCTGCAACACAGCTGTAGCACTAAGCAAAACTGCTGAGATACGGGCTCAAAAGGCTGCCAGGATGACGGCTCATCATCCTGTCAACCCAAGCAACACAAGGTAGCCTTTGGTTTAGGGTTTAGGGTTTGGGGTTTAGGGTTTAGGGGTTTAGGGTTTAGGTTTTAGGGTTCGGGGTTTGGGGATTAGGGTTTAGGGATTTAGGTTTGACCCGCGCATCGCACAGCAGTGCAGGCACGGCATGACATGTCCTGTCCAGTGAAAAGGCTACACCAGTGCAACGGCCCGTCACATCTCTGTGGCTTCGGGCGTACAAGGCTGCACAAATCGTAGTACCAATTGCAAGTATTGCACTGAGGGGGATTGGCAGGTCTAAGGTTTAGGGATTAGGGTTTTTTGTCGACCCTATACAGTCCGCTATACATAGCAGTTTCCGTTCTATTTTCCACTATCCCTATATATCACCCCTATATAACCCTATACTAACCACCAGTCACGAATACCAGGCGGGTAACGGGGAAAACAGCTCGCCCCAAACTTATGATGCGAATAAGCTCAGCAAGCATGACAAGAAAATAGGCAGCAGCAGAAGTCACTTACGGAAGACTGCCAAGTGCAACGAGGCCATGTTTCAGCACTCAGAAATCCTTAGTACTCAGAAACCTTGACAGAGATTGGGGCTTAGAGCTTATGGTCTAGGGTTCTGGGGAATAGCCATAGTGACCACAAGAGATAATGGCAATGGTATTAGATCCTCTGTACATTCCTAGTCTACTCTATTAGTGTCTGGGGGCCTAAGCCAAGGAAGCTTCCATAACTACGGGAACCCAATAAAACCCAACATACCATAATCCTTATGAAAGGGCGCCCCAAAGTGGTAATACTCAAATAGAGCTTACGCATCTTTTAGACCTGGTGCAACCCACCTCGTGCAGCAGTCGATCGTCAGCTTGTCCCGGCACACGCATGCAGGCCGCATTGGCCGCTACAAAATCCCGTAGACTTTAGCCGCTGCGTTTTACAACATTGGAGAAGTCTCCAACCACCTTGCACAATACCACTGCAAACAAATGCCATGGTGGAGGCAGGTGGTGCTGCGAAGCTCCAATACGGCGGTTCAAGGACGTGCAAAGAAGCGACACATGGCTCATGGCCCCACAGGACCCGTCAAGAATTCTGATCAAGGGAAATTTCAGTTAACCCCACCCCTAAAAAATGGGGACCCGATTACAGTCACATGATAGTTGTAGGGTGCAATGCAGCTTGCACAACAAAACACCTACAGCCCTAGATTAGATAGTTGTAGGGTCCTCACTTTAGGGGTAGGGCAAGTAACTAAATTGCCCTTGTGAAATTGAATACTACTATTACTACTACTATAATTATTACTATAATTACTACTTTACCTTTACTATTACTATTACTATTACTATTACTATTACGATACTATTACTATTACGTACTATTACTCGGCTGATGGCTTTGCCTTGGTGTGGCCACCCTTTGCGAAGTGGAACAGCAGCCCCTGACGGACATGGGCTTCCAACAAAAACATGTAATCCCAGCGTTGCCTCATTTTGGCCAGAAACCCTAAACTAGTTGCATGATATGTTTTCCATAATTTTCTCGTTCGGTTCTCAACTGACTTTGAGGTCATACCCCCTTAACCCCTAAACAACCCCACCAAAATCTTTGTGAAATCCTTGCGCCATCCCTGAAAAACCTCCCTAAACCCTAAGCCTGAAACAAACGTCCCATCCAAATGTTGGCATCCAGACCTGGAAGCGCTCGACTAGGTGACGACTATTCCCAGCCTGGCTGGCAGAAGTCAATGCTTAAGTTCCTTAAGAAATATAAGGGTTATATTGGGGTTATATAAGGGTTATATTGGGGTTATATGAGGGTTATATTGGGGTTATATAAGGGTTATATTGGGGTTATATGAGGGTTACATTGGGGTCATATTGGGGTTATATTGGGGTTATATAGTTCCTTTAACAACAACACAAAATGGGGGTTTCCCAAAATTAGGGGTACCATTTTGGGGGACCTAATAATAAGGACTATGGTATTTTGGGGTCTACATTGGGGTCCCCTTATTTTGGGAAACTACCAAATAAGGAAAATAGTGCTTGGGGGTCTATATTATTGGGGTTCTCCAATTTATGGAAACCACCAGATCCTGGCACTTCTTTTTAACGGAAGGCATCATGCACGAGATTCAGCGGCAGCCTCAGACGGGGTCTGCATGCACGTGCTGGACTTGGAATCTACATGGCCAAACTAGCCAAGGCGCGGAGCATGCAGGAAAGTCAGGGTGAAGGCGGTGACTGCCGGGGTCACGGTAAGCCTGTTAATGGACGCTGCCAATGTGGACAACCACTTGGACAAGCGCAGTGTTGTGCCGCTCGGACCTGCGCCCAGAAGCAAGACTTTCATTCGAGTCATGACAGTGGTAGTAGTAGTAGTAGTAATAATAATAATAAGAAGAAGAATAAGAATAAGAATAGGCATAAGAATTTTTACAGTAGCAATGAAAGTACTTATAAACAAAAATGATGACAACTTTCGTAAGAACACTAGAAATGAGTTACAATAGTGACAGTAGTGATGGCAATATAATAACAGCAGTAATGAAGAATAATACTAATAATATAAACCCTACTGACAGGAAACCAGGCCAGGAAACCGCCAGCATGCGCAAAAGGGGTGTCTTCGAACAAGGCCTTGTACTCGTCTGGCCTAGGCTGTAATATGCTAGAGTTGAAGGCGTAAGGCTTAGGGTCTAGGGTTTAAGGTTTGCGGTCTTAACGGGAATCCTGCTAGATAGTATGCAAAGGAGAAACCACAAAAAAAAGTGCTAAGATACTAGTAAAGGCCTGATACTCTAGCCTCTCAACCTTAAACCCTAAGCCGTAGACCCTAAACCCTACTGTTGACCCTAAACCCTACCCTAAAGTCGAAGTAAAGTGGCTCCATGCCGAACTTGACGCGGTCATGCAAATCTGCACGAAGCTGCGCCAGTCGCCTCGGAGCCTCCCACTTCACTACATCCTGGGATAGCTTCAGGGACCCCAAAAAAAATGTTTGGGTTTAGAGTTTAGGGTTTAGGGTTACATCCTGGGATAGCTTCAGGGACCCTATAAAAAGTGTTGTTTAGATCTATAAGGAATATATAGGGGTAAGTATGATCTATAATGATTAAGTTGGTATGATCTAGAATAGAGTTAGTATGACCCATAATAATTGAGTTAGTATGATCCATAATGACTGATCATGCATCAATCGTTCCCGGAAAATACCCCAGTGCTCCTTGAGGCGGAGGCAATCCATGACGCTTGGCGGCTCGGCTCATGCTGCAACAAACCTACAGTACCCGACCTGTTGGAGGGTTTAGGGTTTAGGGTTTAGGGTTTAGGGTTTCGGGTTTAGGGTTTAGGGCCTAAACCCTAAACCCTCTCTCTCACAGCCCCATAAACCCTAAAACCTTCCATAAGCCCTGAACCCCAAAACCCTAAACCCGAAACCCTACAAGCCTTTTTTTTTGCAACTAAACCCGAAACCCTCTGCCAGGTATCCCGTGCACCACCCTTGAAGTGAACCAGCTCGCAACAAACAATGTACCTCAACTGCTTTCGGAGGCACTCTGCCTCACAAGTCACTAGCTCAAAATTTGCCAAAAACAAAAAAAAAATTAGGGGTTTAGGGTCTAGGGTACACACAGACTAGCACAAGGACGTGCCTAAAAGCCAGTGCTGAAGATGTACCAGGTGTGGCTTGCTTGCTCGATATGCTGCTCCACCTCGAAGCTCAGGATGCCCTAAACCCTAAACCCTCCACCCCCAACCCCCAACCTTAAAGGGTTTTAGGGTTTAGGGTTTAGGGACCTTAAACCCTCAACCGCCAACCCCCAACCTTCAACCCTAAACCCTTTTCGCATGTGGACCCTGAGCAGCCGGTCAAGCCCTAAACCCTAAGCCCTAAACCCTGAGTAGTAGTTTCCATTTTCTTTTCCAGTATCCCAATATAGCCC